AAAATAATAAAATTTAAGGGCATTTTAGTCCAAAACGCCGGTAATCCAACAATACATAAGAAAATGGAGGTAATCACATTCTCGGTAATATACCCCCAAAATATCAATGTTAATAATAAAAGATTACCAGGGGTTGGGAAGTTGGCCAACCAAACGGGGGAATGACATTCCATTCCCCCGGTAATAAGATATAACCAGAACCAAACACCCCCTTTAGAAGTTAGAAATCTTTTGAAATTTTAAATTCGCAAAGTGGGTAAATCAAAATTTTACTATTTTAAGAACTAAACACCTATCATATAAATTTTAAATTGTATGTAATATTAAGGTAGTGTATGAATCGGAATGGGTCGAGTCGGATTTTTTTCCATCAAAACTCGATTGGAGTACTGTATTGATCCACCCTTCACCCGCTGACTCGGGTTTAAGGAAATTTTACATGACTCTATTTTTTTCGATTTTTGAGATAAAAATACGCACCCATATATATATATATATATAATTTTACTCTAAACTAAAACACGATCATATTCTTAAGAAAACAATCAAAACCTTTTTTTAATTTAAAATACATCTTATAATATTAAGTTAGATTAAAACTCATCAAATGGGAGTTCTATATTTACCCCTATTTAACACGTATGGATATGTAACAAAAATAAAGAATTTGTAGGAAATATACCTATTCAATACAAATGAATAGCACGAGCCAAGTGATCTCAGTAATAAATATATTGTTGTTATTTCTTGAGGTATTGGGTTTGACCACTATGGATGTTATAGTTGTGAGCGTTCAATGTTAAATAGTTGAGTAGTTATCTTTAAACATATATTATCTTATATTTATCATAGATTAATAATAATAAAAAAAATGTATATTCTTTAAAAAGAAAAAAGAATATGTAACAACAAAATTACTTTTAAGAAGAAGAAGAATATGTAACAAAAATAAAGAATTTGTAGGGTTTTTTTTTTTTTGGCAAATTTAAAACGAAGGCTAGGTGAAAAGTAGAGTAGGATGTTGATCATCAACTTTTCATCAACAGAACAACAACCGGTAGTTGATAATTTTGAATTCACAATTTCTTTTGCGAATCCAAGAGGTTGCCAACAATGTAAAGCGAAATAATGAGGGATCTTACGTCATCTCGAAGATTACAAATTGATATCTATTTATAATTATTTTAGTTATAGATAATGTATTATCTTATAGTTACAACTATTGAAATTCATGATTTTTAAAAAAATAACATTTCATTATATTACAAAAGCTGCTTAATGAATTCAAAAAATACATATTAAAAATAAACGAATCAAGTGATCTTGATAATAAAATATTATTATTTTTCTTAAAATCTCAACTTTGAGTATCATAAATATTCAAGTCTAAACGTTTAATTTTAAATAGTTAAGATTTATGAATTTGATATTGACATATTGTTGTTACTAAGACTGTAAATGTGAAGGGAACAAGTTGATTGGTATTTTATTTCCAAGATTGATACTACTGTTACTTTGGGACCACCATGGCAACTCTCCATGTGATTGCCAGAAGAATGTTTGACTACTCTTCTTTAACAGCTCACCATGTAAATGCTTTTCCAACCTTTTTCTTCGCTTCCTCCCGTTATTTTTTCCCTTTCTCGTTCTGAATGCTTTGCTTTCATTAATTTGAATATTTAGTATTGATAGATGAGTCTTTCAACAAAAATTTTATGTATATATAAAGATTTGAACTCAAAATTTACTTAAACGAAATTAAACTGTTTATCACTTAAACCAACTTTAGTCGATTAAATTTATTCTCATATTTTACCCACCATTTTTACATTTGTAGAGTAATATATATATATATATATATATATATATTGTGAAAGCATTTTTTTAAAAATATATTTTGTTTTGTTTTTCTCATTTCAAAGATTTAATAAAAATTGCTCTAAAAACAAAATCGAAAAAATCCTTTCACATTTCCACGAGATCCATTTTTAAATATATCCTAAATAATTAACATTTTATTGGGTATTTGTCATTTTTCATTACAATTTAAAACTTAAATTGTGGTAATTAATTTCTTGGATAAAGTACACAAATGGTCCCCTGGTTATAAGGAGCTACTTATTGAGTCCATCAACTATTAAAGTTATAAAATGATCCTCTAACTATATGACATTGCTTTGTTGAATCCCTTGACAATTAAAAGTAAAAAAGGTCACCCGACTATTCATATGTTTCAACTCATACTTTTTTAGTAAAAAGTTGACGGTAGTCTGAGTTAGACATTAACATGTTGACTGAGATATGATAATCATTTGATATTCTGAGATTATATTTTAACATATCTCAATCAGTAGATTAACGTCCATCTCAAACAATCTTTAATTTTTTAACGGAAAATGATGAGTTTGAAACATATGAATAATTTGGTGATCATTTTATAATTTGTAATAGTCAATAGCTTAATAAAGTAATGAAATATAATCAGATAACTATTTTATAACTTTTAATAATTAAGAATATTTAATACAATAGCTTATAATCAATAAACTATTTATGTACTTTACCCAAATTTATTTTTACTTGACCCCATCCCATCTTTACCTTTTTTACTCATCTACGGAATAATATTAATAAGTTATTGTACCGTTTTTTAATAATTAATTTCTAGAAATATCTAGAAATGCTTATTTCATTTGTTTACTTTCCCTTCTTTTTAGTAAAAACGCAAGTAAGGATTAACCAGAAACTTCTCATACATATATAATTATATATATGATTATTTTCCAGCTCGACTATATCGGTGATAAAGAAATTATTATTATTCTCCACCACTTAAAATTTTATAAATTTATATTCTTAACATGAAATTCTACGTCTGTCCCTATTTAAGATCCCATGTTCGAATACCATGAATGCAAGAGATATTAACGTTTAATATTAAGTAACTGAGAGTTATCTTTTTAAACATTATTACCTTATATTTAGTCTATATTAATAAAAATAAAAGAGTAACTTTTGTCCCTATAGTAGACTCAATTTATTATTTTTCCCTCTATCGTATTTTCACATCAATTTAACCTTCGAAGTTACTCCATTTCATCATTTGATAGTCTGTCTCTTATTTAAAACCCTAAATTAAAGGTTTAAGTTAAAGATTAACTTTAGAATTTAGAGGTTATAAAATTATAGATGAGGTTTTTAATATAGAATTTTAAATTTAGGTAAAATAGAGATAAAATAATAAATTGGTTGTATAACGACAAAGATGAGTTTAAAAAAAATTATTTTCCAGTGTTCTACACAAAAACACTAATAAAAAACATAAAGTAGACTGATATGCAGAAGATGTATAGTTATAGAGCAAATGGACAGATAATCCAACCTGCATAAAGTTGCAAATTAATATTCGTCTCTGCGTGTGTTTTATGGTGTCAGGGATTTAGAACAGCAGCCACAGTGTGAAACTGACAATCACTACACTACGTTGACTGTCGTCCACATCAGGAAAAAAAAATATCATCGACACTGACACGATTTTTTTCCTCATAATTTCTTCATGCCCACAAAAAATCCTAAACATTGTTTCAGTGTTGGCTTGCACCTTGTCTCATTACAATATTAAAGACAACCTTTGCTTCCCACACAGAAATTACAACAAATTACTAACCACAAGTTAATTTAGTAAAGAATTATTAATTTTCTTAAAGGATCAATTATAAAACAAGTATTCGAACTATATTATTTTTTAAGAATAGGTGACTACAATATTTTTTGAATGATCTCGATGTTTAACGTTACAAACGTTACTACTTTAGGTGTCCAAGCCGTAACGCCATTAGTTTTATCCGTTAAGTGACATGTGTCACATTCAGATAATTTTAAATTTTTTTAATTACAAATATTACTATATTTATAAGAAACCCCCTATTTTTCTTAAATTACAAGAAAAAACCAAATTCATAAAAATCCTAACCCTAACTCACCGTCTCCACTCTTTCCACCCACGACCACCGTTGTTGACCTAGTCCCTGCCATCCTCCTAGTCACATGTCGCCGTAGTTACCGTTGATTGGCCGTCGAAATCATGTGGGATTGCGATTTTCTTCCTAGGGTTTGCGGGATACAAAACGTCGATCGATCGCGATTTCAATAGGGGTATCGATTGTTGGGGGTAGGTGAGGTCGGGTGGAGCTTCGTCGACGGAAAAGGACGACGATCGACGTGGGTTTAGAGGTTGAAATGAATGTTTTTTAAAGTTTTGGCTATTTCAATTTTTTGTGTATTTTTTTAAAAAAATATATAATTTTAATTTTAAATAAATTTTTAAAATTATCTAAATGTTGCACGTGTCACTCAGAAGAGAAAATTAACGACGCTTACGGCCCAAGCAACTAAAGTAATAACATTTATAACATTAGGCACTGGAATTATTCAAAAAGTATTATAAGCACCTATTAGTGAAAAACGCTATAATTTAAGCATTTATTTTATAATTAAGACCTTCTTAAATAAGGTAAATAATTTGAATAATAATATTATAAGTGAAAAGTTAAATTATAAGAATCATTCCGCAATAATTTTTTACAATATCCGATCTGAATTAGTTGATTAATAAATAAAAATCCCATGGTTAAAAAGAAGTTGCAACAAATTGATAGTTACAATAGCATAAACTAACTGGGCTGCAGCCCATCTGATATCTTGCCACCGAATCATTTTAAATCCTCAACAAAATAACATAAGAGTGATGTCAAGGTTATATAGAAAAAAATCAAACAAAAAATGAAATAGAAGCCTATCCCTTGCCCATTAATCTGAAAAGTTGAACCAATCATCATCCATATCAACTCAATTTTAAAATGCTAAAATTATTAAAGCTTTGATATTGATAATTGTATATCATATAATAAAATACATGAAAATCTTGGAAAATTTGAACATACTTGTACTGGACAAATACTCTTATTTGATTCTTACCCGAGTCCGAGTAACATGGACAAATGAAAACATAGAATCGAAGGACTCGAAATAACTTTAGACAATAACAATCCGACAAAAAAAAAGCTTCGAATAAGCCTAGTTGATAATGCAATTACAATAACGATGAAGACAGCACTAGATCACATAAAAAATGGAGTACCGAGTTTTTCAGCAGATGAAGGTTGTAGGGCACTGATCCGGATATCGTATTTTCTACAACTAGAACCTTCATTGCTGGTGGTTGAATCCAATCCATCTAATACAATAGGGTGGCCTGAAGTTCTATCTTCATAAGCATTTCCTATATGATTGCCACACTTGCGGCAAAGAAGTTTGGTTCTACGGTGGAACAAGCCCCATGAATGCTTTGAAAAGTAAGGACCCCATCGGAATTCATCAACTTGCGTAAATCTGCTCTCATCTATACTAAAGAATGATATAATCCCTCGCTTTATTGATTTTCCGTACTTTGAGCCTATTGTCGCGGTGTTTCGACTAGAGGAACTTAGGTTTAGCTCATACCCACAAGAACCACAACTGCAATAAAGAATTGTTTTCACCATTTTATCTTCGGTCCAGAAACACGAAAACATCCAAGTATAACACGATGCATATATTCCATGTTCGCAGCTGAGTTTCAATATTGCAACATCAAGAGGTTCACAAGGAAGGTATTGTAATTTGTAATATTCAAAGCATCGCAAAGTCATTGCAATCAAATTACACTCAGCAACCGATAACATCGAATTCTTCAGATGTTTCATTACTGCTTATCTACCAAGTATCAAGCAAGGTAGAGTATCTGAAGAATTCAAAGTTAACATAAATGCAAAATAACAACTCTGCAATCGATAAATCGAATCTTTCAATGTTTCACAGCTACATATCTAACAACTATCAAGCAAGCTAGAGTATCTGAAGAATTTGAAGCTACCATAGATGCAAAATAACAACTCTGCAAACAGTAAAATCGAATCTTTTGATGTTTCATTACTATATATAGCAACTATCAAGAAAGATCGAGTATCAGAAGAATTCGAAGATACCATGAGTGCAACTATACATTCAGTTCTTGAACTTCTTAATATACCTGTAAGATAAACAAATTCTATGGCGTCCTTAGCCATCAACAACCAGAATATTATCCCCCAAAAGGAGAAACACAAAGAAGTTAGCTAATTCTGAACCCCAACATCCCCAATCCGTAAATTTTAACAGTGAGCTAGTGTTCTACTACTGCTGGTACATTCACATTGCCCAACGTTATTCCGACTCTCCATATATGTGTACCTATCTCCAACACATTCAGACTTAGGCATGGGATAATCCTCTAAATACATCAAAATGCCTAGAAAAAAATTGAAGATACCTGAGCCGGACACGAACTTATATTCGATACTCACCAAAATAACATAGGCATTGACCATGGTGAAAGTTAAGCAACCGGTTTTTGCACAGAAATCACATCCACTAAAGCCAATTTCACAATTTATATGCAATATAATGGTGAAAGAAGAATTGCCCATCCAGCTCAGTTGGTAGAGCACGGATCGAGTCACATGAGCAATTCATAATTCTGACTGCCGGAGGTCTTCCAAGCAACCTACTCTCAACCTGACGTTGGGGCAGCTACTTCCTTACATCCTCTCACCCCATTACATATATATACATCATTGTCATACCAAGTGGTCCCACTCCCCTTAACAATCCTTAATTTTCATGAAGATTTCATCTGAATAAAAGGTATTTTAGAAATCAACCTTAGATCTCCAATTAAAACAGTTCACAATTAACTCTTTATTAATCTAAGTCAATCCCTTACTTCGCAATCAGTGGAGACGAAGTTAAAAACATTAACTTTACACGATTTAACACAATGAAATATGGTTAATACATTCAAGTTCCTTCAACAATCAACAAAAAGCAACAAACCCAGAATCAATTCTGTCAAAACAAACAAAACCCAGAAATAAAAAATTCAAAACATCAAATTTAAACAAGAGAACCAATCAAAACTCACACCCAGAAAAAAAATAAAGAAATAACAAACCTGTACGTTACATGTCTTTGAGAGGCAGAAGAAAGAGAGTGACGGTAATTTCCATTGAATTGTTGAACATCCTTAACGAGAATCGATTTCTCCATTGATTTTTCTTCTTCTGGCTGAATTCAAAGCTCCGATTATGACTGTGATGGTGATGAAAAGAGTCTTAAGTTCTAATTGAGGGTTAACTGCTGAGATGACGGTTGAGAAACGAGTCCGCCTGATTCACGTTAAGGCATCGATTTTCAGGGCTTAGTTATAGAATAATTAAAGAAAAAGAAGTTCCAAAGACAGCATCAGTTTGTAGATAAAGAGGCGAAAACAAGGTGGTTTCCTTGTTTTTGATTTTTGGGTTTAGAGTTTAGATTGTCCTTTTTGACGTGGTTTATAGCGCGGAAAAAGAAAGGAAAAATAAAAGGCCTTGGTTGCGAATATTCTAATAAATGTATATATTTAAAGTTAACTTTAAGAGTTGATTTTTTTTAAAATATTTAACATTTTTAATATTATATTTTTAGATACTAATATTATAACGGCCATTAAATAATACATGTCATATTTAACAAAATTTTAAAAAAATTATTTTAAAATTTAAAACTTAAACTTAAATTTATTTTTTAAAAACCTATTTTTTTCTTAAATTAAAAAAATACTCTAAAAACCCTAATTCTAAATTCAATCATATTTCCAATCGTTGCTAGTTATTTTCGATCGCTAGCTTCATCTCTGAATGTTCACCCATCCATCGTCTACTCACTAACCAGCCACCACCATTTCTTTACTCCAAACCCTAAAATACCTAAAACTCTAAATTTCTAATCCTAAATTTATACTCAATTTCACATGACCCGGTGGGACATTAACACTTAGAATAAATTGGGAAGGGGTTTTTGCGTTCACATTGCTTAGTTTTTATGTGGGTGAATCTAACTTTTAACGTTGCTGGGATGGGAGATTTCAATTTTTTCTGTCGTGAATGAATCAGGGATTAGAGATAAGGATGTAAAATTGGGTAATCGTTCAGGTTTTAGTCGGATCCTGTCAGGTCGGGTAAAATCATATACATGTCAAGTCAGGTCAATTTGATGTATTGACTTAGATCAGGTCGGTCCAAGTCAAATCAGATCGGGTCATTTTCAGGTTGAATTGACACCAGGTTCAGTTCGAGTTAAGGTCAGGTTACTTTCAGTTCAGATCGATATCAGTTCAAGTCAAAATAGTTCAGGTCCGAAGCAGTTAAAGATCGGGTTAATTTAAGTTCGGATGGACTTCAGGCGGATCTCGTTCAGATCGGGTCACATCATTGACAAATAAAATTCAGGTCGAATCTTTATCATATACGAATTGAGTTCAAATCGTGTCAATTTTTTTCTTGGATTAATTATTTTCGTCTTTCGTGAACGTTGAATTGCAATTTGTAATTGTATATGATTTAGAGTAAATTACTAAGAATATAAAAACTATGGATCAATTTTATGAAAAATATAAAATTAAAGACTAAATTGAACAAATATGAAATTACAAATAAAAATTTAAATAAATTAAACAACACTCATTGATAAGGGATTAAATCGAAATAATTTTAAAATGTGAGGTTGAAATTAATATAAAAAGGACTAAATTATACCCATTTAAAAAGCTATGGACTAATTACAAAAATATAAATAAGAAAGGGCCAAATTCATATGCAACTATAAATTTAATGACTAAATTGAATAAATATGAAAATGAACTAATTAAAATTTAAATAAAGTAAATAAACTATATGGTATATATAAACTATATATTAATATATTATGTATAAACTATATAATTTATTATAGTTTATGTATTAAGTATGTATACTATATATATAAACTATATAGTTTATATATGTAGTTTATATATAGTATATATAGTTTATTAATATAAATTATACAATTTATATATAAATTATATATAAACTATACAATTATATTTACATATTATATATAATTATAAATTATATATACTATATAAATTATATATTTATTAATATAAACTATATATATATATATTATATGATTTAGGGTTAATTTATGTAATTATATGTACTTTATATACATATATAAACTATATAAACTATATAGTTTATATATAAAATATGTATACAATTATATATATATATATATATAAACTACATAATATAATTGATATTTATATACTATATAAACTATAGTTTATATTATATACTATACTATAGTTGATATTTATATACTATATATTATATATAAATTATATATACAATATATTTTACATATGAACTATATATAAAAACTATATATATAAACTATATAAACTATAGTGTATATATAAACTATATACTATAGTTGATATTTATATAATATATACTATAATTGATATTTATATACTATAATATATAATTTATACTATATAAATTCAAAGTATATATTATATGTAAATACTATATAATTAAATAAATAAATTAATAAATTATTTATATAATATATACTACATATATATACTATATATACTATATAGTTTACATATGAACTATATATAAAAACTATATACTACAGTTGAAATTTATATACTCTATAATATATATAATTTACATATAAACTATATAATTTACATATGAACTGTACATATAGTTTATTAATGAACTATATAAACTATTTATATAGTATATACTATATATATAAACTATATATACTATATAATTTACATATGAGCTATATAAAAACTATATATATATATATATATATATATATATATATATAAACTATATATTATAGTTGAGTTCTATTTTTTTGCATGCTCGAAACATAATCGGTGAAGGAGGCGGAACGACAGCGACGCGATGGCGACTCGACGAGGAAGATGATCGGATCGGCGCGTGTGACCCAAACACCGACGACATGCCGACGAGGTCTCCGGCCGGTTGGGATGCGCCAGTGGGGAGTGTGCAACACCCCAATTTAGGGGTCAAATTATAAGTTTTTGAAACTTATAACTAGTTTTAGAATGTGTAGGAAATTCAGGGACCCAATTTTGAATTTGCCCATTTTTTTTGGATGTTGAAAATTAAAACCCTTCCCCGAGCAATCTAGTTTTTCCCAAAAGTTTACCCCTAGTTTTTCTTCCCTTTGAACCCCCTTTACGACCACATTCTATCGATGTCCGGCTACCCCAGCTCGAGCCACTACCACCTATCGACTCATCATCGAACGATGATCATAACCCGACCTTCAGCCCGTCGAGTAATGCCGACGTTCACCGTGAAACTCACCAAAAAGTCCTGTCAAAAACCATTTGTCGCGAGTGTTTCTTCGCCGATTCCGGCCACGTCCGATATTTTTTCACCTCACCGTCACCTCCACTAGACTCATCGACACCGTGCGCTCAAAACCCAACCAAAATCGTCGCGTTGTTGTTGCTCCGTCATCGTCACTCGCCGGCCACCGTTGGAAAAGTTCGTACGTTTTAAATTCTGCAATCCGTTATGTTTCCTTGAAAAATAACACTTGCACGAGAATCCCGAGGTCCCGATCTAGTAATCTGGAAATTTTCGTCGTCCTCCGACGACCGGAGCCACCGCACGCGCCTCTCCCTACGTGGGCGTCGTTTGCCAGTCTGAGAGGGTGCTGACCGGCTGAACTGGTCTGGACCGACTGGACTGGTCTGGTCTGGTCTAGACCGAGCTGCTTGAGCCGAGCAGCCTGGGTGAGCCATTGACCTAGTCGTTGACCGTTGACCAGGCGTTGATCGATCGTTGACCGTTGACCAGGCGTTGATCGGCCGTTGACTTTTTTTGGGTACACTTAATTTGATGTTTTTCGACATCTTGAGTCCATTTTTGAGGTCCATTTCGCCAAATTCAAACATGGTAAAATGTTTTCATTGATGAACCACCTGATTTGATATATTTTTCATAATTAAGCTCCGCTTCTAATGAAATTTCTGTTGTTGTGTATCTGAGGAATTATTGGATGTTGAACTCAAGTTTGAGGGCGATCGAATGGAGTTTAAATGGTCGATCGATATGACACAAAAACCGAGGTAATACATTACTACCTATTTCATGATTTATGGAACATGTTGATATTGATTTCTGCATGGATGAGAATAATTGGTCACATGTATGTAGTGATCACTTCCTAAACTCGATCTGAATATTATAAAAGTTGGTAACCAGATATGACTTATATGGCTCGCTTAGAAAAGTGGAAGATCAATCGAAATTAATAATAATAATAATAATAAGTTTGGTGATTCAATAATAAATGAATTGACTTCAAGATCCGTAAATTATGATTAATTCGGTTAAAGATTAAATGGTGAAAATATTTGGATAAGAAATTACCAATAATAGTGTTATGGGGTAAAATTACGAAAATACCCTTGTACTGAAAAAGGACCCAAATATTCCCTATTGGTGAAAATAACCTCCAGTGATCAAATGAACAAAGTACTCTGAATACTAAAGGAACTAGAATACTTTCAAGCCTAAGTTATCCGAAGTAATTTCACATACATAGTTGGATGAAATGACTACAATACACTTAAAGTGTAATATGATTCGAAGCACATCCAAGCCCTGGAATAACAAATACCCTCAGCTCTGAAATGAACAAATCAACCTCGTATTCCAATATGATTATATTATATGACCAAGTTAAATGGAATGGAAATACAATATGTATTCGAATTCTGGAAACGACCGAGTTTCTCAGAAAACTCCTAAGAGAAAGAGTTAACTTGAAAACTAATTGAATTAAGTACCCCGATGACCCTGAATTAAGTGATTAACTTAAATAAGTCTGGAAACACTGATGATCTTATAAGTTGTACCCTTTATAAGGGTTTGGAACCACAAATCAAGCATGTTGACATTTCCTATTAGCGTTGTAATGTGGAAATGAAATGAAAACCATTGGAACATATGTATGTCTCCTTAAGATCTATTCAGCAATGATTCTGAAGATGGTCCATTGACAAGAGTTATCTGTATAGGAGAGTAAATATCCTTGAAGTGCAATGAATTGATCAGTTGACAAGCATCAGTGATGGGAGTTGTTCAGCTCGAGTTAACTCGATATTCCGATAAATCGACACAAATTGTAAATGTCCTGAATCTTCATTTCTCCCTTATCATCTCAAATCACTAAGAATTCTCCAAGAACCTAATGCCTAAAATGTCTTTAATTTCCTGAATAATAGAATCACCACTGTTATATCTGAAAACACGAGTAACTCATATGCAAAGGATTTTGAATACCTTTTTGATCTCCTAATGTCTCCGAAAAATGTCTGAATACTATGTTCATGATAAATCACGTTC